CGCTGAATTCGAGCATTAACAGACGCAGACGCAGCGCTGTCGTTGTACAAGACAGACGCAACTTTTACGTTACATAAAACTTTGTATCTTTTACTGCGCCTTGAGCAAATAAATCATATATTAGTAGTGAACCTGAAGCATTATTTAGCAAACACACAAGAAACAATGCTTTTATCGATGAATGAAAAATTAAACATTCTCTTTATAAATAGATAATTAAGTAATATATATAAAATAATATTATTATAAAATAATATCCTAAATGTTTAATTTTTCATTCATCGATGGAAAGGTTATTCAAAACGATGCATTTTAAGAAAAGAAAAATCAATTAATCAAGAAAATCAGAGAAATCAATTTGTAACGATGCACCTCGGACTGCATCGTTCAAATTCATTTAACATAATTTGCACGTTATTCTGGAATGATGTTATCTTTCTTTCAATTTCATCAAGACGATCTTTCAAATCTTGAACACTCTGCTGCACGTATCGTTTGTTTGCTGCGTCAGTATCATCCACTGGTAGCGCTAAACATCGAATCTTACGCGACTTTGCGTCAAAGTCGGCTGCAACTCGACAAAGAGCGTTATCGCGCACGTAATTTCTGAATAATCCACACCACTTATAGTGCGATTCGGTTCCTCCTCCGAGCGACAATCCAAACTTATTGATCGGCATTTCGATGTCGACTGATCGACATGTATAGATCATGATCAATTTATAATCAGTCCGGCTTCGCGAAGTTCTTCGATAATCGATAGAATCTCATTATCGTGGCCGTTGTGACCTGCTTGACGCGAGGCTTCGATTAATCGAAGACGATCTACAAGTTCGTTGGGATCGTCCGAGTGTACGTAATCAATCCTTGTGTCGGTTAATGACATGGCGCACGGCAAATCGAGTTTTTTCTTTATACCGGTCCCAACCTTTTTACCCAACACCAATGGTGCGATGATGTTCTTGTACTTGTGTCCCTTGTTACCCAATACTTGATTACCAGCGTTATGACCACGTCGATAAGCGTTTGTTGTCAACAGAATGCTCTT